CCTTAAGGACAATGACACTGTTGCTTTAATTTAGCGATAAGAGCCTTGCAGACGAAGGATATTGCATTCTTACACTGACTGACCCTAAAATGTGCCATGCCAAGTTGAATGTGCGTGGAGACTGCTTATGACAAGGGAAGAGGTCTTTAGTTTCTTAAGCGATGAACATGTGGTGAAGAAGAAGCCCTTTCGAAGAACAGGTGGATCCTTAGCCGCACATCGTCATGAAGGGCAAGGCGGCAGTAGAGGAGTGCACTTTGTTTCATGAAAGGGTGTCTTCAAAACAACTGCGCGATTCAGTCAAGCCGTCCAGTCACATGAGCAGTGAGCAGGAGGTCGCACGTGTTGTGGACCAGCTAAGCCACCCCGCAATGTCCTCCCTGCGGAGAGACTAAAGAAGTCACCAAATCATCGAAAGGAACCTCACGAGGCCTTGTCACGTGAACGCTAGAATGCCAAGGTCGCTGGGAGAGTAGATCACGAAGCCTCCCTGTACAGCTTGGTTCGCCAGAGTGTGCCAGCCAATATGAATGCCAGGAACTTGTGAATAAAGAGAGATCATGAGAGATCTCTCAAAGCCACCTGAACAACCGAAACAGCATCCCCAATTCCATCAAACATCCGACCAAACCGAAAAAGAACATCTCAAGCGGGTGACCGGCATGGCCCACGTGCCACGCACGATGCATTGCATCACGAACGAAGCCAATCTCCTCACCCCAACCTCATCACAACGTCTCAACCATTCTTATCCAACCCAAAACATTGGCGACCACTGGCAGTCCAAAAATGGATGCAATCGAGCAGGTGACTAAGGCTCGATCCAAACTAAGCGGCAGCTGTTCAACCAAGGCGCCCTCTCACTGGTTTGCTCAGAAGTGTGCGACAGCAGCGCCGTCGGAAACTGTTTCTCATCCGCAGCATCCTGCGCCAGCGTGCTATGAGCGTTCGCCACCGCTAGCAAGCAGCCGGGCATCAAATTGCTTTTGGCCTGAGTGTACTCAGCCAAGATGCGAGTGTGCAAAGTCTGAAAGGGATGAGGCCGGTTCAGATTCGCACAACTTGCGGCAGTGTTTCCCAAGGGAAAAGGTGGACCAGAGTTGGCACACCAGTCCCCAAAGATCCTTATGATCATCAGCCTTCAGAAACATATTGCCTTTAGTTGGTAAACCAGGCCAAAGGGCACAACCTCCTGCGTGAAAGAGCCGTCAATTCAGCACTGGAAATGGACTGACAGAGTCCTGGTACCACACCACAGAGCCACCACAGAGAGCGCACAAAAGAAAATTATCCTGGATAAGAACCATTAAAACTGTCTATATGTCATTTCCATATCTTTCATTGATAACATACGTTTGTTGTTCAATGTTGTTCATAATTGTTCAGAACATCTGTGAAACATTTATGCACATGTTATGAAAACAATATAGTATTTTTTGAACGAGTTCAAGACTATATATTGGTATGACTGAATCTGTGATTTCTTTGTACGAATGAAGAGTTGGCATACTTACGCAATCATGTTACATTTCCCCGTGTTGGGATCTATCTTGAATTTGTTTTTTTGTTTTAAACCAACGTGTAGGATCTATAGACACTTTGCAAAGTAGCATGTTCAAAAACATTGGTAGTATCCGGCGGCAAAGTCCATGGTACCGCATGCAAGGCGGAAGGAGAGACCACCATCTCATAAGCCGAGGTTGAAGTGAGCTGTGTACAAGTCTCCAACCGGTGCTCCAGAGTGTTTGAAGCTCCACAGTGTTACGGCATAAGCCTTCACGAGTCAAATCCCAATGCGACTTGGAGAATTCCGAACGAAAGGTGCCGTCCTGCCATACCTTTAGCAAAGCAATCTGAAGCAAAGTTTTAACCCAAGACGCACCGGTGGTAAGTGCAACTTCATAGCCATGCAGCCCGGCAAAATCTGGCCTATGAGCAACTTCATGCAACTTCCACAGTCTGACGAGTCCAGTCATCTCTGTGGGCGAGGAAGAAACCAGAGGACAACGCAGGCCAAACGAGTATGAACGACCAGGTTGTTTTTCAAAACAATAGCCTTAAAGGCAACACTTGAACGAGGAAGATACTTGATAAGGCCAAGAATGCGCTAAACTGCCGACCAAGAAGCACACCAGAATACATTGTCTGAGATAGACTTCTACAAGGAAGATGCTTGTATGATGCAGGCGGCTTCTGGAAACAAGCAGGTTCTTGTAAGGAGGTTTGTATAAGACAAGTGAGTTGCGGATAAGGCTGCAGCGCAAAGGGTACATGTTGAATGTTGAGGGGTATTGGGCAGATGGACGTCAAAGAAAGCATGCACACCACCAAGGCTAGCCGCAATGTATCCTACTACCAAAACAAGCTATAGTCATAGTCTTGGACACTACAGAACAGGCCTTTGTACCTTTGAATCGTTCTTGCCAAACCATGGAGTTGGGCCTCAACACATCCAGTATATTTGCTCCTGACAATATTTGTTTGAAGGCCTGCCCGCAGACAGTGGCAGTACCTTGTGACAAAAAAGCGACTTCAAGTTGAGACAATACCACACATAGGGGCATCGCTACTAGGAGCAAGGACCCTACTAGTTGCTCCTGGCCTGACTGCTAGGAACAAGGGCATCGCTACTAGGAGCAAGGACGCTACTGGAAGCTCCTGGTCGTACTACTAGGAACAAGGGCATCGCTACTAGGAGCAAGGACGCTACTTGTAGCTCCTTGGCTTTCTGCTAGGATCAAGGGCATCGCTACTAGGAGCAAGGGCGCTACTGGTAGCTCCTGGGCTTGCTACTGGGAACAATGGCATCGCTACTTGGAGCAAGGACGCTACAGTACTCGTAGCTCCTGGCTATACTGCTAGGAACAAGGACATCGCTACTGAGAGCAAGGACGCTACTGGTAGCTCCTGGCCTTACTACTAGGAACAAGGGCATCGCTACTGGGAGCAAGGACGCTACTGGTAGCTCCTGGCCTTACTGCTAGGAACAAGGGCATCGCTACTAGGAGCAAGGACGCTACTGGTAGCTCCTGGCCTTACTGCTAGGAGCAAGGGCATCGCTACTGGGAGCAAGGACGTAACTCCTGGCCTTACTGCTAGGAACAAAGGCACTGCTACTAGGAGCAAGGACGCTACTGGTAGCTCTTTGTCTTACTACTTCGCTGCTGGGAGCAAGGACGCTACTGGTAGCTCCTGGCCTTGCTGCTAGGAACAAGGGCATCGCTACTAGGAGCAAGGACGCTACTTGTAGCTCGTGGCCTTACTGCTAGGAACAAGGGCACCGCTACTAGGAGCAAGGGCGCTACTGGTAGCTCCTGGCCTTACTGCTAGGAACAAGGGCACCGCTACTAGGAGCAAGGATGCTACTGGTAGCTTCTGGTCGTACTACTAGGAACAAGGGCATCGCTACTAGTAGCCAGGGCATCGCTACTAGTAACTAGTAGTTCCTGGCCTTACTGCTAGGAACAAAGGCATCGCTACTAGGAGCAAGGACGCTACTGGTAGCTTACAAAGAGCACAATTTCAACGCCCGGTTTGTCGCACCGTCGGGTGAGGCGTTGGAGCCTTGGCTGCTCCAAGGGACCCCTTGGTGCTGAAGCCACAAGAGGACACCGCTCTGAAGCTACTGGCAGAGACTGGGACCTACTGATAGACAGATTGTTAATGCTGGTCTCGCGGTTAATTTTAGACGATTTTAGACCACGGAGTTGCAATGCTCCAACTTGAGGTCAAATGGGATGTGTTTTATTGTTTTTTTAAATATTCGTCATTTGTAGGGGGATGGTTGACTCACAGTCCCGAGGAGATGGAAGATGCTTTGCCCAGCTTCCTTCGAGACTTTGGCCCTGCTTCGCCTGACTCCTTGGGTTTCTTCTTGCAAGCCAAGGCAGGGATGGACAGAAAAGACCTGAAGAAACCTCCAAAAGGATCCCCAGTTTGGCCCAAAATGCGAGGGGTTTGGCCGGGAGCACAGCTGATCTCACCTCCCATGCAGGACCACCGTCTGGATTTGACCAGGGCTGCTCCTCAAAGTGGTAATCCCAACAGTGAGAAGGTGCGACAATACAATCAAGTCCTGAACCGCATTAACGAGCAGGTCTACCGCTTCCGCCGGTCGTCGCATGAAGTGAAATGGTCTGATGTGGATCAACTGCTTCAGAAGGCTCGAGACTTTGAACGAAGCGTAGGCCAGAAAGATGAGTTGCGGCGGATCTATGCATTTCAAGACGAATACCTGCCAGACATTGGGGAGTGGAGCACGGATCGGCGCCGCCAACTTCGAAACCAGGTTTTCTTAGTGAGGATCGAGCATGGCCATGTGAGCCATAGTGGAAGCGCCGGGGCTTTCGACACCTTTCCTAAGGACATCCACCTTTATATCGCCCTGCTGTTCCTGCTCGCGGCACTTGCTTTCATTGTCTTGAATTTCTGGGCTTTGTCCCGTTTTCATGATGAAGATGGCCGGGGATGGATCCTTGAGTTGTCAAGCCTGATCGGCTTCTTATGTGTGGTTGCTGCCTTTGTTGTATCGTTTCCAACATGGAAACGCTACTTTGAAAAACCAAAATCTGGAGTGAACCACTACCAGACTGTACCGCCTGCATGACCGAATTGTCAGTGAGTGCATGTTTGAACAAACAGAGCCATTCTGCGCAGCCGTGGGATGTTCCAGTGGCGAGGCTGAAGCAGCAGTTTGCGCTGAACTTCTGCTGGGCTTTAGGATGCAAATAGATGACCTTATATGATGTATGATGATGTGTGCATACATATATGTATATATGGTTATATGTGTAAAGCATATACTGTGCAGTAATATAGTAGTATCAGCACAGCACAGACACCGTTGAATGTCACGGGGGCATTGTGCTGCAGGTGGGCATGCCTGAAGATGCTCGACTTGGCACGTGAGGACCGGCCTGGCCCCAGATGTCGCAAAGCAAAGCCAGAAAACCAATGAAGGTTGTGTCCAACTACAGGTCAGGACATGTAGTTGAGAAAGGCTTGTCATGACTCAGTAGGTTCACTGCTTTGGTTTGGTCAAGTTCATTTCTTCAGCTTTTGGCTCAGTGGCTGGTGAAGCATCCCCAAAGGGGCATGACTTCCAAGGCAACATTCGAGTCCATTCTGGGATGCTTCAGAAGACATCAGGTTGAGGGGGATGAGGTGATGGACTGGCAGGTCTTCTCGGAAGTCTTGAGAAAGCTGGACCCCGAGTTCTGCAGCGACACTTTGCTGGAGAACTTCAGACTTTGCTTCTCAGAAATTCAGGATGAGTCAGTGCGGGCAATCAGGATCGAAGAAGCCTTGAAGTGGATCTTTTGCAGTAGTGTGAAGCTGAAGCGCTCCACATCTTTGAAGAAGCAGAAGACCGATGAATTTGACACAGAAGCGCTTCGTGTGCGTACAGCTTCTGGGGCCGTGATTTTGGCCATGAAGGCCGAGGAGTTGGAGACGGTGGAACGGCTCAGGGAAAAGGTTGGAGATGTTCTAGGCCGGTGTGTGGATGAAGTGAAGCTCATAGCCTTTGAGAGACAGCTGGAGGATGGGGAAAGCTGCCGGGAACTTGTGACCCATGAATTTGCAGCAGGCAAAGGATGCCTCGAAGTCTTGGTCGTGACACAGCAGATTCCGCAACTAGACCCAGCACTTCCAGTTCTGGATCAGCTGGAGGTTTTGAAGGCTATGATCATGTCATCATCCGTGGAATATCAAATAGATGCTGCCACGCACCTCAGAAAGGTGCTGTCAGTGGAAGCCAACCCACCCATTGATCGAGTACTCGAGCTGGATGTTGCCCCGCGGCTTCTGGAGTTGAGCCAACAAATGGCCAACCCGCAGTTGCAGTTTGAGACGCTTTGGGCAGTGCTCAACATCGTCTCCGGGAATGCTCGGCAAACCCAAGCCATTGTGGACCTGGATGCTGTGCCCATCATCATCAACATCATGCGAGAGAGTTCGACTCCAGACGTGCAAGAACAAGCAATTTGGGCCATTGGAAATATTGCTGGAGATTCGGTTCAACATCGAGACCTTTGCCTTCAAAGCGAAGGGATGCCAGCAGTACTTCAGGTGCTCGAGAGCACCACAAAGATCTCCTGCATTCGCAATGCAGTTTGGACCATCTCCAACTTCTTTCGTGGCGCTCCCAAGCCACGTTTGGATGACCTCAAGCCTGCATTGCCAGTGCTTACACGGCACCTGCGCAAAAGTAGTGACACTGATGTCTTGACAGATGCCCTTTGGTCAATGTCTTACATTTCTGATGGAGAGTACAACTACATCCAATCCGTGATCGATTCTGGAATTTGTGATCGACTGGTGGAGCTGTTGGCTCACCCGTCACAGATGGTGCATACACCTGCACTCCGCACTGTAGGGAATCTTGTCACCGGCGATGACGCGCAAACGGATGCTGTTTTGAGCTGCAAGCCCTTGCCGTCGGTGATGCAATTGACAACAAGCACCAAGATGAAGATCAGGAAGGAATGCTGCTGGATGCTCTCTAACATTTGTGCAGGACCTTTGTACCAAGTGGTGCAGATCAGAGATGCCGGCTTTTTCGAGCGCTTTGTGATCACCGCCAGAGATCCTGAACTCAGTGTTCGAAAAGAGGCCGCCTTTTGCATTACAAATGCTAGCGAAAGGCCAGAAGTTGTGGGAGATTTGATGGATGCTGACTGTATGACGGTTATGCATGAGCTGATGGATAGTCACGACGGAAAGCTCCAAGACCTTTGCCTCACTTTCATCTCCAACCTTCAAAAGGCCTTGACAAGCCTGTCCGCAGAGTACTCAGAGCGTTTCTATGCAGCCTTTCCAATTCAAGACATTGAAGAACTTGAGGAGAATGCTGGCAGTGCATCGATCCGAAGCAAAGCCCAGAAGCTCATTCGTCAAATGCAGTCGAAGACGAGCACAGAGAGTCCTGAGGCTTGTCCGGAGAGTCCGGATGGTTTGGATGCTCCGCCGGAGTCCGAAGATGAAGACTTAGATTGACTGAAACGGCTAGCAGACTCACATGGTTGGCCAGTAGACTTAGATGCAGATAGACTCACATCTAGCTTTGTTTTTTTGAGGCGAAGGGGCCTTTCACAGACCTGAGTTCGTCAGAGCAACAGACAGCAGAATTGCAGTGTTTGACAGGATTTGACATATAATATGACTTCATGACCGACTCGGGTTTGATGCAGCCTGGCCCTCCAAGAGTGGCCGGCATTTTCCTGACCGAAGCAGAAAGCAGAGTGATTGAAAGACTAGAAGGCCGGGATATTCGGAATGCACTACACTAGGCGGCATGTTTAGAAAAAGCTCGTGAGCTGCTGACAGCGCAGCGTTCTTAGAAAGACCTTGAGCCTGAGGTGGCTATGACAACGGAGGGGCTTGACACTGAGCGTTTCGCTTAGTCTTTGGCAAGCTATGTGACGTCGAGTGGGGGTGGAGACCAGGTAGATGGTAGCAAGTACTTGTTCGATTTGAAAGTGAAAGGCAATTATATTTGTGCGCTGCTGCGGCTCAAACACGAGCCATATATGCATTGTTGCAGCCTTGGCGAAGGCTGGACTGGTGAGGGGGTAGAGGGAAGCACAGCTTCGTTGGATGCTTGGTGAGGCCAATGGCGGCGCTTTGGCTGGCCCTTTTCATCCTTGCGACGCGGGTCGACTCGGGTGTTTTTGCCGAGACTCCTCGAAGGACAGCGCATCTCAACGGAGCGGAATGCCGCGAAATCAGAAAACCTGGAAATGCTGCAAGCTTCGATTCTTGTCGGGGAGGTTGCCATATTCAATGATTTTTGATGTTCCATTTCTGCGACAGGAGAATGTCTTGCATATATATATATACATATATATTTTATAATTTTTTTATATATAGAGAGAGAATTAACATGCATTAACTATATATGTATAAATATATATATACATATATATATATATTTATGTTTTTAAATAAGACTGTGACTTAGGAACACCTTTTTCATTTATGTAATTTGTTGTGGAGAAGTGGTATGTTTATTTTATGATAATTGAAGACTAAGACTGAGAGACGCCGCAGCCAAGCACCTGGAAAATTGTCAGAAACCTCGAAACCCTGTAAAGCACAGCACTTTGATGATCTTTGACGAAACAGTTATAACTTATTCATGCTGTGTTTTCTGATTTGCATATGGTAGCCTCGTCATGATGCATTTCCAAGGTTGTACAGTCATTTAACAACAGAAAATATATTGTATTCAGCTGAACCTGAATCATACAACATATCCAGAACAAATAAAGAACATGAATTGACACCATTACAGTAATTAAAGATACATCTAAAAAAAAGAAAACACATCACAACAATCACAAAGTTTGATTTCTGTTTGATTTATTTCGTCTCAAGCTGATAGTTGAAGTCACAATCAATGATAGTGATCACTGATAGATGATCCACCGTGTGATCCCATTGTCTCACCTGACGAGGGCCACCTGGTACGCCCCTCATGATGATCCTCATGTACGGCGCCTGTCGCAGATGCTAGACATGCACCAAGTGCTTGCGCTGGGGAACCGCTGGAAGAAGTTCGGATTAGGCATGCTATGCTTGGACAACGCACTGGAGGAAGAGTTAGAGAGAATAGCTATCAACTACAAAAGCATTTGCACTCGAGTGTCCAAATCTTTCTATCAGACCCTCAGACCAAGCACACCAAGGAGTGGCACCCTCACTGGTTACACGGTGGAAGTCAGAGCACAGAGCCCAGTGAGGATGGTTGGGACTGCACCGAGCCGTCGGAACGTCGAGCCAGGTTGTAAAGCAGGATGCCTTTGGTCCCGAGCCAGCCAGGTAAGGCTGTTCTTTTTCTTCCAGCTGCTGGTATCGTTTGGAGAACTGTCTTCATTGTAAATGCATACTATGGTCTATGGTAATGATATGTAGTTGTATGTACTGTAGTGATGTCAGTAATGATTATTTAAGCTATTGTGTATACGTGTACATGTGTGGAGGATCAAGCCAACTTCTTTTCCACAGGGTGGATGTCGCCTTCATCCCACCGGGACATCCTGAGAGTGACTTGGTCACCGTGTCTTTTCCCAACACCGCTGGCTGGGAGCTTAGTGGTACCGTACGTACGACATGATATTTAAGTGTTTTCCTTGGACCAGCACATCGGTAAGATCAATTTTTCTTCGTGGAAGATCTATGTTTTTTTTTCTGTTTGATGGAGGCAATGCAGGCACAAAGATGCCTATGGGCCAGAGCCACAGGAGGACGATGGTCGGGCTTCAGAACCGGGGCTTCGAGGGTTCATGTATGTCACTACGAGAAGGACGAGCAATGTAGACTCTTGATTCATACACCACCGGTCATACAGTATCCAAATTTTATTAATCAAGAACATCCATTATTTGAACGCATGAGTTCGGTGGCATTTTCATGAGGCCTTCAACATGGGGCGTCAGTGAACATCACCGGGTTCCAAGAGACAGACAGTGCAATAGCTGATCAGCTCAAGGCAGAGATGCAGAAATCCTTGTTGTTCAGTTTTTAGTCTCGTTTCCATGTAAGAAGGTGAGGCAATTTATTAGATATGGGGATGGGTCAAAACCTGGAACCCCACCAAACATGAAAAAAATGTAGCTTGACCTTCCAGATTAGGTCAACCAAGGTATCCTGGTTTTGACCCACGGCCATGTAATTCCAATTCCCGTATCGTTGATTTCTTTGCGAGCCTTCGGTCTTTAGGGGACCGGACGCGACTGAGACAGAGAGCGATGCTTGTCGCAGGCGGACATGAAGGATCACGCTTTAGCTGCTGGAATCGCCGCTGTTTGAAGCTCAGAAACGTTCCATTCCATAGTCGTGGCCAGAGCTGACGGTACCCTTGGCATCATGGTTTGTTGTAGTTTGCGTCACCAATTTGATTCTTCATGATTCTTAAACCGCCCCTTGGCCAATGTGTGTGTTTGTGTACGTGCATGTTGGCGTGTCTGTTTGAGCACTTGGCTGGTCATAGTTCTGTCTCTGAAGCGGCCTGATGTGTACCACCACCTTCCAGGCAAGTTACAAGTCATGCAGCATGTACTCCACCATAAGCTCCCTGGAATTCAGAGGATTCTGTCCCAACTTGTCCCAACCCTCTCGAACGGGGCCGTGCGAACGGGGCCCTGCGTTTTTTCGCCGCTCATGGGAGGCGATGTTCGCTGAAAAGAGGTCCGTGGCATCCACAGGACCCACAGGTTTTCTACGGATGAAATGCCGGAAGACAACGGCAAGAGAAACAGCGAGCAGTCAACCAAACCAATGAACAAGCAGAGAAACGACACATCCGTCACATCCGAAACATTTAAACAACAACAGCACACACACACACACCGCAGAAGCAAGGAAGCTTCAATGCGCGACAAAGCACAAGAAGGACACACCAAGAGTGACCTGAGCTCCTCTCATTTAGTCCCGCACCCTGAGGGCTCCGACAAGCGTGGAGTCTTTGTCGCGCCGGGGAGCCTGACAGATTAACTGGCAAACGTTTCTTCAACAGATCAACTGGCTGATGAGTCAGTGATAAGGGTTTGATGGAGAAGATTTGTGGATGCCCACAGGAACTCTTTGGAGTATACCAGAGATGCTGGCGAGTTGGCTGGCCACGCTGGACGTAGGTGCCCATTGCAATCTCTTCGACCTGTCAAACTTCCACCTAACACCCCTGCCCCTGCCGAACCCAGCACTGGAGCCTCGTGAAGTTTTATGCATTGTTTTTTTTGTAGTCTTGAGTCCTGAATCACTGGACGGAGAGCAGTGGGCAATACAGTCGGCTCAGTTCCACTATGTCACTATGCTCCACTAGTTGTCGGCTTGCTGCAGTTTCTTTAATTGTTTTTTCTATTGCAAGCATTCTTGCAGGTTAAATGCTCGAGGCTGAGAAGTGGGCCTGTAAAGAGAATTCGATTCACAGATGTTGAATGCTGTGCTCAGGGCTCACTTGTTAGAATCCGATGGAACTGAGGGCAATGCTGCCACTCAGAATACTGCGGTGGTCGTGCTGTACCAGCCGTGTGTGACACTTGTAAATGACGCAACTCTTGACGACGAGGGCTAAGCGGACAAGATGGCTATATAAGCTGTGCAAAAATGCCATCGGACGGACGTCAACCCGGTTGTGCTTGGGCTCAGGTGGAAATAACTTGCAGGACGACATCACAAAGGACCGTTTGCAAAGTGCGCTGATGCCTTAGTTGTCAGAACGAGGCAACCCCAGTGGTCGTGAAGAAAGATGTACTTGAATGTATTTGAAGTATGGGTTAATGTAGGGTCTGTCCTATTGCCTGTAACAGTCAGTAAACAATTATCACTATTTTTGGACAAGGCCTTTACTAACCATCATCCACTGTTACAGCTATTAGGATAGACCCAAGGTTAATGAATGGTTAATGGCTGACCAACATGGGTACACTACGGTACACTCACCAAGCTACTCAGCACAGCATCCGTCAGGTCATTTGACCATGTTCGGAAAACATCAGCAGAACCCACCGGGGTTAAAGAACAAGACCCGCTCGCTCGCCGGGCTCAGCAGCGACGACAGGTTTTTTGACCACACCGCCGGCTCCTTCCAGCAGGCGCAAAAACACGACCGCTGCTGCAGCGTCGCGTGCGTCACGATGGGTTTTTGCGTCGGGCAGGGCAACCCTTTTGCAACCAGTCAGCGGCAACGCCTGTGAAGCTGTCAGGTCATGGGGGTTTGCTCCCGAGGTGCGTTGGGGTTGATGGAACTTCCAAACGACCAGGAACGGTCAGCTTCACGTCGACCAGGAACGGTCAGCTTCACTGGTTCTGTGGTGGGCCCCGTCGATGGCTGCCCAGATTCGTCAGATGTATGGTCCACGTATCAAGCCATTGAGGCCAGTTCCTTTGAAGTTTGTTTCGCTTGATGGAATTGATCGGGCGCAGCACGGATGCACATATAGATATATACATATATGTATATATACATATAGACCATTATAGACATGTCGGGTTTGCCCAATTGATATTGAAGAACTTGCTTTGCGATCTGCACTCTTCCTCCGATGATTTGACTGGTTTTGCCTAGGCACAGCTCTCCGGCACTCCTGAATGGGCGTCTTGGAATTTGATTGACTTCAGCGATCAGAGGGAGAGAGGAGAGGGCGAGGGAGAGGAAGAAAGAAAGAGTGAGAGATGCATGAGCTAGAATGCCATGGTACCAAGGACGACAACTACTTCAAGCTGATGATTCTTCCATCCTCGTGGCTGTCAGCTGTTGGGCTGGGCACGGTGGGTGGCGGCAACTCGACGCTGCGATTATGCAACTTAAGGCTAAGACCAAGACCCTGACTTGGATTTCGTGCAGATGGACACTTGAGAGAACTTGCTGCTTTTTGGCATGTGTTGACTTATGGCTTGCCTAAACCCAGCTAGACCCAGCAACAAGACGTGAGGTTTGACTTGGTACAGAGAGAGCTATGTGGCTTCGCCGGTGCTCTTTCTCCACGAAATTGGGCACAATTGGAAGCTACACCATGCAGGGGGTCCTTTCACAAGTCAGGAGGGGATCCTTTCAGAGTCTTCAAGGCACGACAAGCACTCTGTAGAAGGATAACTAACGGACGAGGGAAAAAAGCAAACAAAGGCCCATTTGGTCAGAACCGCATGGGATCACTTCAGGACATGCACTTGATCTAATTTGCACATGTTGCTCACTGTTCTGAAGCTGCAGGAATATTCCGACACCAGCTCTGCTATGGGTTATTGTTGCTCGACCAGGTGTCGGGCTCTTAGCTGAGTAGAAATTGTGTGTGTGTGGAGCTATGAGCCAAAGAAGGCGTATATATATATATATATTTGTATATATAAATAGTCACCAAGCAGCCCTGAGCAGCTTGAGCCCTGAGCAGCCCTAGCCCTTGCTTCTCCTCGAGGGTTGGGTCAAACGACAAACACTCAGAGAGAGAGAGAGAGAGAGCGAGAGAGAGAGAGAGATGGCAGACTTCGAGGTTACAACTTTCTGCACTCGTGGCAACTGGGTTTTGCAGACTACCCTCAGGCCATGAAACATGATTGCATGTGGTCCTCACAGAAGCTTTTTGGGACTTAGTACTTAGTGACCATCGGCGGAGTGTTCGTCCCTGAACAGTGTTGGTGTTTCAGCCTCACCAGAGCTGTTTGCGGGAAGTGCTTTGGGGGCACTCTTTGGGTGGTTTGGTGTTAGACTTGCGGGGTTCAAAGTTCGTCCTACACTTGCGTGTGGTCAAATTGTGCTTGATTCTCTTCACAAATTTTTCTTGCGGCATGGCCGATCGGGGAACCAGACGTTACCTCGACACATTACGCTGCCCAGGGATAATCCACCTCCAATCTCATGTGCTGAAGTTCCACCGTGTAAACCAGAGGACACGGTTCGCATGCTACTTCGCCTGAAGGCCCAGATCCAAGCTCGCAAGCGTTCGGTTTCACACTAGGTTTTTGTGGCTCGTTGTTCTGGTTTGTTGTGGGCCCTGCTTCTCATTTCCCATTTTGCCTCTTTTCATGCCACTTGCTCAGAGTCACGCCACCTGTGCTGGGCTCGGTTCGCTCTAAGGGTAATTTGTACCAAATCACACTTCTCCGTTCAATCCACTCGTCCAACAATGACAAGGGTTGCCATGGCGTGAAGCAAGAGCGCTCACGCTTCTACGCCCTATGTTTTTCTACCTTGTTTGTGGCTCTTCTGACAGGATGCCCTAATCTTGAGCAATGTGGCCCAGTCGACCTCCACACGCTTGACGCTCAATGCCCTTGGCGTTGCCCTTAGAGCACCCTCCGGTGTTCAAAAGACACGGTGCGGCTTTGAGAGGTGACCCCACGGATTTGGAAGCATTGGTTTGGCTTGAACATGTTTAAACAGCCATTGATAATCATATATATATATATATACACTGATATTTGTTTTATATATGCACAAAAGAATAAATATACGACATTCTACATATATAATCATATATATATATATATTTAGAACATTGTATTGCTATTTGTTTGCTGAACTCGTGAGCAGAGGAAGCTGCAGCGGTGGCTGAAATCTTAAGAACTGGGTCGGAATGTGAGGTTCCAATGCTTTGAGCGGTGTCAGGGTCTCAGCCAACCCGAAGAAGCAAGTGTCACAGTGTGTCACTGTTTGCTTCGCCGTAGCGGAGTGAGATGCTTGGGGATCCAAAAGAATCAAAAGAAGGTGCTCAGGGCGTTTGGACATGTCATGTGGGGTGCTCTGATTAGGCCTGGAGAGTGTAGCTAGGCTTTGAAGCCATGTGCCACACCGGGCAGGTGAAAATTGAAGTGGATTCCTCAGCCCCTGGTCGGAGGCAGGGCCCTAGGTTGTGGAGAAGAAATCAATCATATGTCATACATGCTAGCCCATTTGATCTATCCGTCAAGAGCCATCAGGTGATTCCAAGATCATCCATTGTCAATGGTCTCTCCGCAGGTTGAACGTGGCCGCTTTTCTGGTTTTGTCATGGCGGGCCACTACAGGCGACCAACAGATCTCATTTCTCTTCCGATCAGTATACTGTAGGATGTGTTCACATGTTGAGTTTCTATGTGAGGTACCGACCAGTACCTGCAAGGCATGGGGGGGTTGAGGAACAACCAGACAAGCATCATCAAACATGCAAGAGTTTCCAGGCACCGCTTTGTGGAGGGCAGACCCTGTCGCTATGTGTGACAACAAAGCTGTGACTGGCTGAAGCAGGAACCTCCTATGCCAACAAAGTGCAAGTGCATCACTGGGATGGTGACAGCAGGACCGTGTGGGACTGTGGGACTCCAGCTGCAAGTCCAACTTGAAACAGGACCTTGGACATAGGGACAGTATGAAATTCTAAAGGGGTTCTCCCGTGAACGTCATGTGTTTCTTGGAATCCTGAAGTTCCAAGGTGCCTGCCTGAATTCTTGAGCCTTGCGCTTGAGGACTGACGCCAGCATCACCCACTTGCTTCACAGTGTAGACAAGGCACAAGTACAACGGTCGATTGCCCCGCACCGTCGGAGAAGCAGCTGGGCAACATCCTCGACAGCATCATAGAGCAGCATGGAGCTAGCGGATGGTTTATATCATGATATATATATATATACAATGTTCAATGGTGTGGTATGTCCTGGTGTCATTCGGTGTCCTATACCCCCACAGAAACTACACTTCATTTTATTAAACAATCATGGAAGTTGAGAATCTCTACAAACACGGCTAAAGGGCTCTTTTCATGGCGATTATCTTCCAGAACTTAATGTATGATGGAAGACATTTTGTGTAACCCTGCAGGGCTCCAGCGTGGTGATCCAAGACACCGACAGGCGCGTTGCGCATGACACGAGCATTCGACGGGACGCGACACCGTGATGCGGACATTGGAGGTCCGGAGAGAGGATCGTGACGGACCTGAAACTGACCGTTTGAGCCTAAGAATTGTGCTTATTTGGAGGTTAAGGTTGGGTTGATTTGTTCAAACGTATCCAAACTAGTTCATATGATTTGGAACTATACCACTTGTGAAATTCGCTGTTTGGAGCAAGTTGACAGATGCGTTTGTGTCTCGAACAAACCGAGGTCAAGGGCACCCGGGGTCAGTCAAGCGATACAGTTGAAATTCTGCAACTTGGAGAAGAGAAGCAGGTTGGTGAAGATTTCACATGATTTCACTCTGTGTGTGATCGCATATTCTTCACTTTTTTTTTGAAGTTCTGGGTGAGCCATCCTCTAGTGACACTCCATGGGTCAGCATAAACAACAGAGTTACTAAGAAAGTAGCAGCATGGGTTTGATGGATTTGATGCAATGCAGCATTGCATTTGGCACCCCTTGGTGCATAGTCCAAGGCTGTGCAAGAGACTGAGTACCGAAGGTGGCCTGGCAAGAATCAGAAAGATTGGCGATACTGCCGGTGTATTTGATTTATGTAACGTGACGACTTTGCACTGTGTGCACCTATACATACAGTATCATACGACCTATATTATGTATTTATATATTTATGTTTATATATATCTATACACACTACAAAATGCCATGCAATATGTGTATTTTTGGTTTTGCTTGCGGAGCTCAATGCGGGAACCCGCCGCAGCCTGGCGTGCCATAGATGATAAGATAGGAAAATACATAGACATAGATCATCTCATGCAACATTTATCATTTGATGCAGCTGATGCAGCTGCAAAATCAAGCTGCGGGCCTGTTTCTGGCCATACACCGTATTGATGGAAGCAGTGGTCTAATTAGTCCATTCTCTTCAAAAAAGTGTTCTACAATGTGGGAGACCCATCACTCGTGCGAGAAAGGTTGGGGAGCACAATCTGCCAGGTGCTTCAACTGCAACAGCTGACTTGACGCCATGCAGCGATGCGGCCGAGACGACGGCAACGATCACGAGCGCCACAACGACAACGACCACAACAACAACTACTACAACTACAACGACTACAAGAACGACAGGGACATCAGGTACAAGCGATCCTGACACACAATCGACCAGCTTGTCAGGCCGCACGCGGGTTTTTAGGTCCTGACGGTTAGGTGGCTTAGGTCCTAAATGCCTTCAATGGTTCAAACTCCGGCCATTATAGGGGGAGGCCATCGCTCTTTGGTTGGAGGCCATCACTAGTAAGTTGGAGGTCATTGCTCTTGCGTCGGAGGCCATCGCTCTTAGATTGGACGCCATTGCTAGGCCATCCCTCTTAGGTTGGAGGCAATTGCTATTAGGTTGGAGGTCATCGTTCTTAGGTTGGAGGGCCATGGCTACTAGGTTGGAGGCCATGGCTCTTAGGTTGGAGGCCATTGCTGTTAGGTTCAAGGCCATCGCTCTTGGGTTGGAGGCCATAGCTAGTAGGTTGGAGGCCATGGCTCTTAGGTTGGAGGCCATTGCAAAAATTAGGTTGGACATGGCTCTTAGGTTGGAGAGCATTGCTTTCAGGTTGGAGGCCATCGCTAATAGGTTGGAGGCCATTGCGCTTAGGTTGAAGGCCATTGCAAGTAGGTTGGAGGCCATCGATCTTGGGTTGGAGGCCATGGCACTTAGGTTGGAGGTGGGATGCCATCGCTCTTAGGTTGGAGGCCATCGCTAGTAGGTTGGGCCAAAAACGGATTAAACGGAGTTGTGCGTCTTGGCCTTGGACCCGGAGACAGGCACCTCCACGACGGCGACGACAGCCACAACGACGACGTTGGAGAATCCGGGTGATGCATGGTTTTGCCGACATGTGAACCTAACTGGGTGGTGATGGCAGATCTTCTTAGATTCAACTTTGACTGGGGATGATTGAACCCACTGACTCATATTTGTTAAGTGAGTTGAAACCACCAACCTGCTAGTAATTTTAGATCACTGTTTGGGGTGTGCTGCGATGGGGTGGCGTTTTTTTCCCTATTGCCCTTGAGGGCCCATTGCAGGTCCAGCTATTTCAATGATGAGACGACCTCCAAAGCTGTCTCACCAGGGACGGCTTTGGTAGGTGTTGGCTGTGCTGAAGAATTTTGTGGAAGCATGAGGCAGGACTCAAAGCGGAACTCTGACGTTCATGTGTGATGCGCGAAACAAAGAAGACAAAGTCTAGCGGCCTAGCAGAATAGTTGGCATGGATTCGAAAAGCTTTCGCCTTGGTAAGGAGGATTAGGGAGGCCTCTTGCCAGAGCCTGTCCTTGATGCCAAGAGGGACCTTATATAACACAGTACATAGGATTCCTCAACCTCCCCCCACAAAAACAGAGATATGAATCGCGATATGAATGAAAGGAGTTCTTGACACCGACCTAACAAGCATCCGTTTTGTCTCCCATTTCACAGATTGAGCCACCGTGCTGACATTCAGCTCAGCAGCCAAAGCGCCAGATGCCCAGGACTTTGCTGGCTGAATTCGACACCAATCCCTGTAAAGTAATGTCAGCAGTTTTGTGTCAATGCCAGCAGGTGCATCACATGCTGCTTTATCATGAGCATTCATGGGCAGAGAGAGATAGAGAGAGAGAGAGAGAGCGCGAGGGGAGGGAGACAGAGGGAGCATGAGGGAGTATTTGGAGCACTTGAGGTGACGATCCACCAAGTGGATGCGGACATCGGCGATTTGATTTGCCAGTCAGGGCAGGTTGCTACCCAGGCATCCAGGGGTTTGGGGTGAAGCTTGTCCACTGCCTGGTGGATCTCTCTGCTATCAAAAAGGCAGGGGCAACTATACAATATACGTACTACACACATCTACACACTACTTCTGTAGGCGAAGAATGAATTCCTTCACTGTCCTGCTTGCGCTCTCTCCCTCGCTCCCTCCCTCCCTCCCTCCCTCTCTCTCTCTCTTTGGTGGTTTCGTCGAGAAAGCTTGATGAAGACTCTCTATGCATTTGCCACGTGCTGGTCGCCATGCTGGCTCCGAGAGGTGGCCGAACCTGACTCAAAAAAACGGTCATTTAGGAAGAGGAATCCTCAGGTAAAGACCACAGGTAATGCATCACTCTCACTTGTTGGTTCGGCATGAAATTGCCGAAACAGCCGATCAAACCATGTCCAGCTAGATTCTGTTATTACAAAGTATGGACTGATGACACTGCACTGCGTATTTTCAGGCAATTCCTAGTGGCAACTGGGCCCACAGCCATCGTGGCGAGATCAGATGGCGCAGATGTTGGTCCTCGCCGTGGTGGCTTGGCTACTCAAAGACTGCCTGGCGGACAAGAGTGGCTGTGGCAGCGGGCCCTTCTTTATGCGGCCTCCCTTCAACGAGAAGCACAGCACAGACGTATGCAAGACCTGCATTACCTCTGCCGGAAACTGCCAATGGTGCCCTTTTAGCCAAAGCTGCGGGCACAAGCGGTCTTGGGGACGTTCGGCCTCATGCATGAATGATGGGGAGTATAAACCTGTAGATGCAGGCAATGGCTGTGGACAGACCCCTCCGTGGATGGAAATTCTCGACAAGAACTATGGAGCATCCTTGGATAGCACCAACTCAGACATCATGCGATGTCTTCAGGATCGAGTGGAAAGGTGGAAGGTTGACAAGGCCCCGCAGCTACCGGAGACATGGGATGATGAGAAGATCTCAGACTTTTCCTGCCTGTCGGCACTTTTGCGAGAGGCAGTGACCAGTAGTTTGGGGAGCTCTCAGTCAAAGACCAAGTTCTCTGCCCTCATCATGAACAGTTCAATGACCTCTTTGACCAGGGCACCGATTCGTGCCTTGGGGGATAACTGGGGGGAGCGGGAGCCTGAGATGACCTTTTGTTCGCTCTTTGAGCAGTTCTTCCCCAAGGAGACCTGCAAGGCCTGGGTCTACGGTGAGAGCGACTTTGCGCAGCTTCGTCTCAACAAGGCCAGTCCTGGCAGGGCAGGCCCAACGGATTTGTCTTCAGAGCTCCGAAGCTCCTTTCAAGGTGGACACCTGAGGCCATCGCCTTTGGGACTCTTTGATGAGGACAAGCTGAAGGGTATTCTGACCACCCATGACCAGAAATACATGATTCACGTCGATTTCAATGAACTCAAGAACTTGAAGACCTTGATTACTGGGAAGGAAGGTGCCATCAGCTTGAGAGACCACCTGGAAGGAAATTCCTACTCCCTAGTACAGCGCATCTACGGCCTGGTGTACATCAAGATCTTGGGGGTGAAAGCATATTGCTTGGTCATGAGCAATGAAGGCTATGGCCTTGGACTCAAGACCGCATCCAGCAACGTGGCACGTTATGACCTCAAGGGCAAGTCCAGGAGTCAGAGCAAAAAGTCAAAGAATCCCCTGATTGGGAAGAATGGTGACTTTGCCGAGCGAGAAGCGAACCAGCTGCCGATGAAGAATTGGCAGTGCAAATCCTTGCGGAAGAAGATTGCCCCGGACATTGCTTGGCTTCAAAGTCATGGCATGGGAGATTACAGTTTGTACGCTGAGATTGCCTCTGGTGGACAGAATCCTGTGGGCTGCTCCGGCTTGCCAGGAGTTCCCTTGTGTAATGTGAGGGAGGAGAAGACGACCACATTATCCATCATCGATTTCATGCAGGACAGGCGCTCCTCCTCCGCTGAGAAGTTTGGTTCACAGATGCTCGAGTTGGTGGACACCATTTGTCACATTGACAAGCAAGAATCAATGGAGTCCTGGCAGATTTACTTAATTGTCGCTTGCTTTGCCACCTTGCTCCTTTGTGGATCCCTTCTCGGCTGGAAGTACGGCGGTGCCTTCCTCCGCTCCGACCGCCCCCACGAGCTCCGCGACGTGGAGATGACCGGGCTCGCGACGAGCGGCGTTCCGAGCGGGCACGGCGGTCCCTGGGCTCCGTGACCCAAGAAATGGACGTGGCTTGAAGAAACAGGTGGGTTTCCATAGCGATTTGCAAAGAACATCCGCTCTTTTTGCGACCTGTGATGTTATTGCTTGATGATGTAATTCGGCAGACGATGCCTTTGACCACAAGACTGTGGCCATGCTTGTGGCAGAGAAGCAATCGGTTTAGCATGTTTCACCCTTTTCTGGATACAGTCCGATGCCTCCGTCTTTGCGTTACTAAAGACTCACGGACTTCGTTCTTCAAGAGACATGGGTGAAGATGGGATGGCTTCTGTCCAACACATGTCACCCCCTTTGAAAGGCCATTGTCAGGTCCGCCAAGTCCCCGTGGTCAGGTCACTTGCCTCGGCGACTCTTGCGACACCATTCGTTTGCATTGCGCCACTCCAACTGGAGGAGCTGCCGGTGGGAGCTGCCAAGCACTCGTTTGGCAAAGGATCATGGACCTTAGATCAAGTTAGCCATAGGCATAGGCATGCATAGGCCATATTTTGTCCATTGAGGCAACTTCTGAGTCAATTGAAATAGGCCTACAGATGTCTACCATTCGTGAATGTTCTTCCAGCACCTAGAATGAATCTTGGAGGGGTCCAGGAGTTTTCCTGTTTCAACATCCACACCTGTTTCGACTCCTCTCAGAGTCGAAAATGCCTTGGCAAGTGCACTAGTTCCACCAGGCCGCGTGAGTGCAGACACCGCCGAGCGGACCTGGTTTCCCAGCGAGCTGCACAGCACGGAGGCGTGATGCTGCACTGGGACCGTGGGTGTGGCACGGTTGTTTTCTAAGAATCATCTCCAAACAGGGGAGAGATGAGTCGTACAATAGAAGGAATGATGTGTATGAGGAGGTGCCACAATCACATTGCCGCCACTTTGGAGGGGGCTAATAAATGTATGCGAATGTCAACGTCTCAACGTCAGAGTAAGAAACGCTATGCCATCCAACTTCTTGGCTATTTTTTCAGCTTCCCAACCCCATCATTCCGTTTTTGTGGTTGCGCAGGACAGCTACTGTCATGGCGAAGACGTCATCGTTGGTGGGCACCCCAGAGTTTGGGCCCAAGAAGAAGGATGAAGATGAAGCGCGTTGTCGCTAAGGCATATACTGTGGGGGTGCACATTGCGTGAGCAAGAAGCTGGTTTGTGCCACTGGGTTCGGCTGAGTTCCTTTTTTCTTGGCCCCTTTTTGATACGGTTTGTCCGGCATTACAGTAACTGGTTTTCCGGTGTATCCTGTGAGCCCAGCACTTGTGGGCAGCTGCAGGCGACTTACACCAAGGATGACAGCAAGGAATGCATTCCAAGCTGCGACATTCTGGGCTTGGAATGTGGGGATGACGGCTGCGGTGGCTCCTGTGGCACTTGTTCTTCAGAGGCGAGACCGGCGCTCACCGCGGATTAGAACCGGGTTAGTCCGTTAGCTTGGGCAACAAGAAAACGACACCATGATCAGATTAGACCAGATCCGCTACAAGTATGGAAGGAATGCCCAACTCCTGACGCAATCAAACATAATCAGACCATCAAGATGACCAAGCGGCTATCATTGATACTGATACTGTTTGATCATGATACTGATGATCATTAATTACAATAGCATAGAATATGATGGCCACTGATACTCCTTTAATATGACCGGTCAGGCGCCCATGCCATGGAAAGGCATATCGGCTCCCGACAGGATGATTCCTTGTCGCCCATGTGCCGGGGAGATGTGGGCCGTTGCGTGTACTTTGTTTCGGCTGCCACTCGGTGTAGCCCCATGTCTTTTTGACGCACCTGGAGAGAAGCAAGGGTTTTTCACAGCATTCGAGCTGACACAGCTCTTGACAACTCAGGATTGGGTCAACAAAGGCAAGAAAATGACCCCCACCCACTTGGCCAGCGTCTGAGGTTGAGGAATTGGTGCATTGTCTTATGAGTCATGACTTATACTGTAAGCTTAAAACTATATATTATATTATTACATGTATATATAATAATTAAAGACTGCTTGTTCCAGCTCTGACAGTTTTTGCAGATGAATTGAAATCAAGGTTTCGACAGGAATGGCGTGTGCTGGTGATTTCTGTGGGAACGTGCGGCTGATTCAGATGAGTGTTTATGTCGATGCAGCTACGGCAGAGAGTCTTTGAAGCACGCAGCGCTTATATACTGTTGTTTTCTTTTTTAGATGCGTATTTTCATCACATAATGTAGCGTCATGTAACTACAATTCTTGTCATTTCGTCATTTGGTGTTCCGCCTTCTACTGTGCAAGCAGTGACGAAACATTTTGGTTACAAGGAAATCTGGCTGGATATCTGACAACACCGGCCACCGCTGGTTTTGGAACTCTGGATCTGCAGCAGATGACCAGGCCAGGAGACCTACGTACCCTACATGCCTAGGTGGGCACCAGAATCCTATGGGGGCACCGGGACCTGTAGTGATGAAGAGGTTGCCAGTTCTGAGTTCGACATACATGACATGATGTGGCATTGGGCAGTCACTAATATTCGTTTATGAGGCCATGTTCTTGGTTGGGGATGATTTGAATGCGTCTCCAAGCTATTTGGGAGAGGTGGGGAGTCCCACCGTTGTTCAACAACATCCTTTGCCCTGAAGCACGTGCAAAGGATAGAACATCTCCACAGGCTCAAAGCTTCCCCGAATCGCTTCGACTCAACAACCTCAGAATGCGGTGAAGAGTCAGGACTGTAGGACCGGAAGCCTCAGATTGTTAAGCACTAAGCACAAAACGTCGCCAGGTGGCTGACTGTCCTGATGGAATGGCTGTCAGCTACGTGGAGTGTGATGGAAAGTCACTCATCTCCATCAGGGAGTTGGGATCGCTGTTGGTTTTGAATGGTTTTCATGTTGCAGTGGATGCATGATACACTTGGGTAGCTCATTGCTGTACCGGGGTCAAGTTTTTCCCGATTGCATAGCAAAGGGTTCTCATTCAACTTTGGGAGTCTGAGGCTAGAGCGTTGTTCTCTTGACGCTGCTTTTGTCAAACGTCAGAGTGCGATCAATAAGGGCCGTTGGGCAAAGGTTCTTGGAGGTGTTGGATGGAAGCCTGAAGTGTCAGATTCGCGTGAAATAGCGTAGAACAGTAACATGTGGAAGTGTGGAGGACCCCTTCCTACCTGGCTTCATAAAATCAGCAAGCTTGAGGGAATATTCTCTATGACTCTATAAGACACTAGGAACTTGATTGGGTTCCAGGTCTTGGCAATGCAAGTGCGGACTCCTACTTTAGTATGAACCAAGGGTGGCACATGAGATACGTTAGATATACTCCCGCACTGCAAGATGGCACATGGAAACAGGCGAAAGTAGATCGCATATTGATCCAAAACATATCCTAAACCACAAAAAATATAAACCCGCAAAATATGCAGGTTTTCTGTCAACACATGGTTGATTGCCATGATTTCTCATCCACTGATGCCTGAGCCCGATGTGCCATCTTACAGTGCCTGAATACCTGCAATAGTCTTTCCTACCAAGCCCCCCATGTGCCATCTTGATGTGCCTGGGTACATGAAATGATCTTTCCTACCAAACCCCGTGTGCCATCTTAGCATCATCATCATCATCATCATCACCCTTGTCTTTCATGATTGGTCCCTGCAGATCATGATGTGTCCGTTGTGCCTTCTTTGTGGTCCTCTGCTCCCCCTTAATACTATACCCTGTCCCCCCTCTTTCTTCCTTTAAATATGTATATGTTCTATGTCTTTTCCTTGCCTGGCTCTGTCCTCTTTTTTGATTCCTTGCCTTCATGAATCTTGTCCCTTTCCTTTCATCACTTGGCATTACCAAAGCCCAAAACCTTCTGAGTAAAATTTTGAATAGATCCCTTATTTAAAAAAACCACCAACAATGGAAAAACCGACTCTGGAAAGGGTACCCCAGAGACCGTCTTCATTTTGACTGATGTTTTCCGTTCCCCTTGACAGTCTCCCCTCTCATCACCTGGCATGTGCCATTTGAGTGGTCCACTGCTCCCCTTATATATAGTATATTTCAGGCCGCCTGTCCAACCTCCCCCCATGTGCCATCTTAGTGTGCCCCCGTCCCACCCCCGCGAGGTCTCCTGAAACGGCCATTGTTTTCCAATGCTTTGGCTATAGTACTGATCACTGTTTGATGTTCTTTTTCTTCCTTGGCTGTCCTTCCTGCTTTGCTTCCTGCCTTGTCCTTCCCTGCACCTTTCATTGATATACCGGCACGGTTTATGTGCTTGCATTGTCTTTCATGATTGTTCTCTGCAGATCATGACAGTTTGTATCCGGTGTGCCATCTTTGTGAGTGGTCCACTGCTCCCATGAATTTCCTGTGCCCTCCCCCCGCCTTCCATGTGCCATCTTTATGTTCCACTGCTCCCATGAATTTCCTGTAATCTCCTCCTCCCATGTGCCATCTTTATGTTCCTCTGCTCACTGGTGTTCTTATGGTTTACATCCTGTGTGCCATCTATTTGTTACTGTGCCCTTCATATACCCTTCGACGCACTTGCAGATCGTGAACATGGCACAAATGTACACTTTTACATGTGCCATCTTGCAGTGAGTCGCTATAATTGTTTATGAGGTTGGCCCCCTGGTAGCCTAATGTTTAGCCTCCATAAATAAATTCGTATAGATTGGGCCCCCCACAGAATAAGCAGAAGGGTCACTCATTATTTTGTGGCACCACCACAACCCAAAGCCATCAGGTATCAACACTCACCAACAGTGAAGAAATCCTGCTGGGCACGTATTATAGAGGTGGGGGCAGGCGTCCCAGTATGGGCAAGCAAGGGTCTAGGGGACTTTTATCTTCAGGTTTGGCCTGGCCCTTTGGATTTACATTCTGTGAGTTTACTACTGAGGGTGGACACCAAAACCCAGCACAAGAAACCTGAAAAAACCACCGCCCACCTCACCAGTGGTGCAAATTTTGCTGAAGACCCGACGGTGTGATGTAGTTTTCTTCGCGGCAGGCGCAGGGCATCATGAGGGTGGCATCATGTGCCGTTGGGATTGGCGTGTCAGCGCATGTGGCTTTAAGGGGCTGGGGTTGCGAACCTGGTTGGCAGGGCTCCTTGGTGTGCTTGCTCTGATGAGACTTGTTTGTTTTTGGAGACTGGACGTGTGACTCTGAGGAAGTCTCGTCCGCAATGCTCATTTTACCAAGTTTTGGCAGGTACAAGAGTGTCGAGTGTCCTACAAGAGTGTCCTACAAAAGTGTTCCACAACAGTGTTCCACAAGGGTGTCACACACAAGAATGTCCTCCCATAAGAGTGCCCCAAAACGTGTCCAAGGAGAGTGTCCCCCACAAGAGTGTCAAGCAATGTTTGGCCGTCTCTTTTCGAGTACATGCGTGCATTTGGGCTCGCCGGTTCCATTTTTGCAGAGGACGAGGACCAGTTGCCAAACTGGCCGAGCTTGATCGAATGGTGAATTTGTTGCGCAAGTGTGATAGATAAAGGTACAGAGGTAGATGCAGTAGATCCCAAATGATTTGCATCCAACCCCAATAGAGGCCCTTAGTGACCATGGCACAGATCTTCAGAAAATAATCAATCCATTCTGCGCCGTTGAGATGCCCCCGTTTACTTTGGCGTATTGGTCATCCCTGTTTTCAGTGCACAGTGTATATGGCAAGAGTCGGCAACAGGTTTTAGTCCCCTTGTTGCTGTGTGGCTGGTTTACCTCAATCATGGCTGGTCTCATCACGGAATCGAAGGCTGTGACCGAATGGCCCAGGCATTGCGATAACTTACGTTTTCATTGCGCCAAGCCGCTGCAGTGGTCATAGCCTTGGTCCATCATGACTTCATGGCAAGGTATGTTTTGCTAGAAGCCGGAAGCTCTCCAAGATCAATATTAATAGATCAATAGAGAATTATATATACGGTATGCGTATGAGACTTTGAGCAGCTGCTCTCGGCTACCTCAGCAGGCTCGTCTGTTCACAGTAGGGAATGGGATTCGTCGAACGCTGTCGACAGGATCGGCGTCTGAAGGGATTCGGCTCAGGACACTGGACATGTCAGAGACACCTGTGGTGACGGGCTGGTTCAGTGAGGAGGAGGGCCGCAAGGACTGCCCGGATGGCAAAGTCCGGTACTCAAGTGGTCCATCCGTGGTCCTCCGCGGTCCCTCCAGCGCGGAGGGAGTGGTTGAGCGGTCGACGTGTGTGACGATGTGGGTCACAACATGGTTTTCTTTCAGGAACGTCAAAGAGTATGGTTTGCCACAGGAACCAGGTGCTAGTGGCAGTAATTACATAATAGACTGTAGATGAACAAAGTATGACTCAAACGATTCAACACCACAAGCTGAAGCTGACTTTTACTTCGTGTCATTTCGCTCCTCTATTCCTTCGTTCCTTCACTGAGGTGGTGACTGGGGTGGAGTGCAAGGTGGGGTCTTCCAGCGCTTGATGTTTTCGTTTTCGCAATGCTTTGTTGGCCAAGCTTTGCCCTGAAGGATTCGAAAAAGTGGTGCCTTTCAAATTGTGGTAGCTACTGTGACAACAAAAGGCTTCGCTGCCGGCAGCGGACTCAGACATGCAGAATGAAGCACAGAATCCTTCGCTTCCCATGTGACCAGGTCAATCAGACCAGAAATGGCTGGAGCTGCAAGCCGGAGCCCCAAGGATCTTCCATAGACTTAGGAATCGTTTCCTGAACACCGCCTTTCGGTGAAATTCCCACCCAGCTCACCACGAGTTTGGTACTCGTTGTTTGGATCCCAAGAGTTCCTCAAGTTTTCCCTCTTCAACCGACTTAGCAGTTCCCCCGACCATTTCCAACTTGTTTCTATTTATCAGATAATTATCACGTTCCAACCTGGGTTTTGAGGAGACAATTCCCCTCGACATCAAAGTAACGATGATGTACCTCTTGACTCTTGCGGTTTTAACCCCTTGGTCTTGGTATGCTAGTTCATGTTTTGCTATTTTCACTCGTGCTTTTCTCATAGGTAAGGGATATTGGGGTGCGAGATCTGTTGCACAAGTCCGCAAGTTGCGGGAATTCCTTTTCTGTTGGAAAATGACGTGTTCCAAGACCACATCACGGAATCCATTTGTTCCGTTCGTAGCTTCTTGTTCCTTGCAGCTCCTTGTTCCGTTCCTAGCTTCTGGCCTCCAACCTACAAGCGCGATGGCCTCCAGCGAGCATAGCGTCCAGTTCATCTACTAGTAGCAGTTCATCGAGTTTCGCGGCTGTGTTTGGGTTCCTTTGAGTTCCTCAACTCGCGGAAGCCGCGTCTGACGCTCAGTCCTGGGCGTCCTAACGCCTTCAGAGCTTCCACGCTCTGCTGAGCCAGCCCCGCCATCGCCATCTCCCTGGTGACCCAAAGGGATCCGTTTGGTGGTAAAAGCGTGACACTTGTCCCGTTGAGCTGAACGCAAGGGCCTTTCACAAGCTGGTCAGGGTTACACGAGCTGAAGTTGCAGCGCTTCGTCGAAGTGGGCAGCTTTAGCAGCCACACTCTGACACTTGTATTCAGTTAAATCAGTTCCCACGATGGGAAGGATGGCGGTGGAACGGCATGGCGAAAAGTCCGCGAAAATTGTAGGTGTTTGAACAAAGGTTGTTTCCCTTGACTGTGGTGACGAAGCGGCGCAAAGCAGCTGCAAAAGTGGCTGTGGGAAACCTGTTTATGGGGAAGGTATCATGAAACACCATGGAAGCAAACCAAACAATTGGACAGCGTGGTCA